TCCTGTTCCTCTGATGTTGCCTGACCTGCTGTGTTCCTCCAGCTCCACACTGTGTTGACACTAGCAAGTACTGTTATATGTAAACAAGTTATTTCTTGAAAAGCAATTTTCAATATTCTGCATTTTTGTGTTGTTTTAAATGGCGGTCACAAATGTGTGAAGTGTGAACATATTATTCAAAAGGCTAGATTTTTCTTGACTCCTAACACAAGATATGATTATCTCATTGCCCAAGAGTGAAAAATGTTGCCACGAGTTAAGGATAGTCTTGCATGAAATTTGGTTTACGTCTGATAGCTCTGCAAATATTCCAGGTGGTGTGATTAAAATTCAAATCCTCTGTTCATTTGAAACCAAAACCAGGTGGTAACTGGACTTTGTGATAATGGTGCTGTGAAATTCCTCTTGTTTCAATTTAACAATAATTCTCATTAAATATTTCTGAAGATTCTATCATTCTCAAGTTTTCATTCTTGCAGAAAGTAGTTTAATCAGTCAGTTTTAAATTTAGTTTCAGTTTTCTGGCACCAGGTGGCGATGCTACATATGTAATTAGGCTCAATATCCAAAAGAATCAGTTTCTGTTGTTATCAAGTCATTTAAATCTACAGGTAGTTGTCTTTAGGTGTGCCTCACAAGAGTGTGTGATATATATAAATTATATAGGGAAATTTAACACTTGAAGAAATTCTACTCTTGCGCTTTAAGTACATTTTTGTCATAACCAGGGTAATGGTCATCCATTTTCTGTTGATTTTAAATACTATTTATGGAGCTTAGCCACATTATAGTTGATGCAAAAATATATTTGAACCATTAGATAAGGTGAAAACGTTTTTAATTTGCACTTTTTTTCAAGATGCTCTGCATGGAATAATTTCCTTAAAAGAAAATGTGATAAGGTTTAACCTGGCCTCCAACCACCTCAACCCCTACCTGAATCTCAAAATATTGTCTTTGTCATTATGTTGAAATGTGGGCAATTAACCCCAACATTCAGATGCAATACTGTAAAACAATTTTACATATATAAGGTACATGGTTGATGCTGGCAGTACAGCATTACTGTTCAAGAATGTGGTGGGTCAGTTTTGTTCTTTTGTTATTTTTTGTTTTTCTAAATGCCTGGCTTAATAGGCTACTGCAGACAGCATTGAGACAATCACATGGCATGGAGTAAGAATAGCTTGTTGACTGAAGATGTGAAATTTCTTTTCATGAAGGACTTTAGGGAACAATTGAGCTTTAACTAACCTGTGATTTTAATGTTTTCTTTTTGTTCGTCAAGTCATGAATTACCAAGTTCATTGAATCCCACAAAAATAATTGAATTCAAAGTCCATATTAAGGCTGCTGTGCTATTGTATCTGCCCATCATATTTGATGTAGGTAGATATTGCCATTAAGTTATGCTGGTAGTATTCCCTAGGCACTTTGTAACTTATTCTGAAATATAGAGGGATGCTAGTCAAAAAAAGTATCCTTTTGTGCTAAGAGCAGGTAAGCCTTGCATATAGTGAATAGAGCTTCACAAACTTCATGGTGCCTTCGTTTCTTCTGTTTTTTTTGGTTGGTGGTAATTCCAGTCTACTCAGTGGAGACCACCAGCAACTCCACTAAAGATCAACTAAATGCTTTAAACAAGAAAAAAAAAGACATGGATGCTTTTTCAGGGTGTGGACAAAATGACGCAATATTGCACGATGTAATTACTAAGCATTTTGATCAACTTTTTTTCTCCATTTAGATTAAGTTGGGTTCTTTTTTAAACAATCCTTAGGTTATCCTCTCCATGCTCCAGAAGCATATTTTCCATACTTCAGAAAACATGGTGTTACCACAATAATCAGACTTAACAAGAAAATTTATGATGCTAAACGCTTTACCGACGCTGGGTTTGAACACTACGACCTTTTCTTTGTTGATGGAAGCACACCTAGTGATTCCATAGTGAAAAGGTTTTTAACGATTTGTGAAAATGAAGAAGGAGCTATTGCTGTGCATTGCAAAGGTATGAATCCATTACTTTGTTTTTGGACAACAGTCGTTATCTTATTACTTCGTTACATTACTTCCATGTTATTACTTCGTTATTACTTCCATGACTCTGTTTCTTCAGTTGTGATGATATGGTAAGTCTGCAGGTTCTTTCCAAGGCCTTAGTGATGCTGCTGTGAAAGGGAATATAAAACATTGTGCTCCCTCTTTTCCCCCATTGTGTGGAGTGGATCTTATTCAAGAATGTAGCTCATGAATACAAGTAATAATTGATAATTTGACATTGGTGTTTCGTAGCATTTGGAGTCTGCAAACTATTATGTGGCAGAAGAAAGCAAGACAATTTCAGAACTGAGTTATGGAAGTAAAGTAGTATTTCCAGAATTATCGAAAAAAACTTCTGACGTTCTTGACACAGAATTAATCTAATATTGTTAAATTTGTATTATTCACATCTACTAAAATGCATCACTAATCCATATTCAAGCAATTTAGTAAATTAAGATATTGCAAATGGTAATCCTTTCAGAAACTGAATTGAGGTAATATCACCACTTGAAAAAAGCAGAAATGCTGTTTACATCCTGAAAGTGCTCAAATCCAAATAGAGATGCTGAGAACTGATCTCTTGTGGCTCTCCTATTGGGAAGCACAGTGAAACCAGCATAAAGAGATCCTATTAAAAGACACCAGTAACTTGCATAATAAAATATATAAGAGGCACTCTCTATAAGCAGGGACACTTGCAAAATGCAAACTAAGGACTACCTTCAATGCACACAGCTTTTTTTTTTGGTCTGTCTCTGCCCTAAAATTGTTTCAGTCTTAGAATCATTGCTTATTACTAAGGTTGCACTGTATTCCAAGCGACACCAGTTTAGAAAGAAACTTGAATTTACAGCACAGAATTGTTAAGTGAGTAATACTGCATGCTAGTGTGTGGGCAGTTCTGGCATTGCAGCGGCCTACAATCCCAGCCAGTTGGGAAATATTCACATTGCCCATTCTGAAAACAAGGACACTTGTGAAAATGAAAAAGTGATGTTAGTTCTCAATGTATCTGTAATTTTACAAGACCATAGGACATAAGAGCAGAAGTTGGCACTGGTACACTGCTCCCACCAGTGCCTTCCTCCCGTTGTTAATTCTTGTCTACTCCCATCCATTCTACATTTTTCAGTCCAAGATGATTTATTGCCATCACACATTCACTTCTTTTATTCCAAATTCAGCATGCATTTAAGTAATGAGTCTTTGATCCTGCTCCCACTAGGGCCCAGCATCCAAAACGGCTTCCCAACCCTTTTGTCAGAGATGCATGCGACTTGTTCTGTCTGGCTGCATTTGCTGATGCACGCCAGCCATTTTGTGTTTTGTCTAATACACTGAATTTGCACAGTGTGATTTTTGGGTAGTCAACATATTGATGATTTGCTAAGCAATAAGGACAGTGGGGTGAATAAAAAGAAAATACCATCGATACTGAAAATATGAAATAAAAACACAGTTCTGGAGCAACTCACCAGGTCTGGCAGCATCTGTGGAGAAGGAAACTGAGTTAAGGTTTGAAGTCTGATATGACTCCCCTTCAGAACATCATCATAGAAACATGGGAAATAGGAGCAACAGTAGGCGCTTCAGCTTTATTGAGCTTGTCCCATCATTCAATATGATCACGGCTGATTTATCCCAACTCGGTTACCTGTCCTGCTTTCTACCCATACCCCTTGATCCCTCTTAGCTTTAAAAATTCTGAATGTTTTCATGGAGGAATTACAATATTTTGGCTCGAACCACTTTCTGCAGCAGAGAATTCCGCAGGCTCACCTCACTCTCTAAGTAAAGAAATCTATTCTTGGTCCTAGATGACCTACACTGCATCCTCACACTGACTCCCTGGTTTTGGACTTCCCACTCCTCAGGAACATCTTCCTGCATTTATGCTGTCTGGTCCTCTTAGAAATTAATAGATTTCAACAAGACTTGCACCCCCACCCCAACCTTAACTGATCCAGTCTTCATATGTCACCCCTTCCATCCCAGGAACCAATCCGATATGCCTTTGTTGTACTCCCTCGAGAGCCACAACATCCATCCTCCGATTGGGAGACCTAAACTGCACACAATACTTCAGGTGTGGTCTTGCCAAAACCCTGTACAAGTGCAGTAAGATATCCATGTTCTGTTATACTCTAATCCACTTGCTGTGAAGGCCAATATACCATCTGCCGCCTTTGCCGTTTATTACCCCTGTTAGCTTTCTTTCAGTGACTGGTGTACACTGACCCAGATTTTGTTCCACGTCCCCCTTTCACAATTTGTCGTCCCTCTGAAAATCTGCTTTCCTGTTTTTACTACCAAAATGGATAACCTTACAACATAGCTCAGGTCCAAGCACTGAGCCTTATGGTACTGCACTACTTAATGCCTGCCAGCCAATCAGAAAAAAATGTTGATTATTCCTACTTTGCTTCCTGTTTGCTAACCAGTTTTTGTTTTTTTAACCCATGCCAGTACACAACTCCAAATTCCATGTTCTTCTTCAATTTTACAAGCTAGTCTCTGAGATGATCTTAACAAAAGCCTTCTGAAAGTCCAAGTAAACCATGTTCACTGGATCACCCTTATCAACTCTGCTTGTTACACCCTTGAAATTGTAGTAGGTTTGTCAAGTATGGTTTCCTTTTTGTAAATCCATGTTGATTCTGTTTGATCCTGTTACTATTTTCTAAGTCCTCTGCTATTAAATCTTTCATAATGGGATCTAGCAGTTTCCCCACTACTAATGGCAGGCTAACCAGTCTATTAATCTCTACTTCCTTTATTCTTCCGTTTTTAAATTGTGGGGTTACATTAGTTAGCGTCCAATCGCTAGGAACTGCTTCAGTCTGTGGAATCTTAAAAGCTGAGCACTAATGCATCCACTGCTTCTAAGGCCAGTTCTTTAACTCCTGTGGGTTGTAGATTATCAGGCTCTGAAGATTTATCTGCCAATTTCCCCATCACTATTTCCTCACTAATACTGATTCCCTTCATTTCCTCCCTCTTACTAGTCCCTGTGTTCCCCAACATTTTTGGGACGTTATTTGTGTCTTCCTTTGTGAAAGCAGAACTACAGTATACATTTAATTGGTCTACTGTCATTTGTTCCCCATTATAACTTACCCTCTTTCTGACTGTAAGCTCATTTCAATTCTGAAGAAGAGCCATATTAGACTTAAAATGTTAAAGCAGTTTTTCTGTCCAAAGGCAGTGAGAATAGGATTAAAACAAGTACTTTTTAGTCGGGTTTGAAAAGCCAAAGGTGGAAGTTTTTGGAATAAATATTACTAACTATAGCAATTGTATTAAATCTGTTTTCATTAGAATAAATTTGGATAATTATAACTTAAGGTGATTATAACCATTTAAAACATTATACAGTACGTGTGAAGCAGCTGGCACTGAGTACAATAAATATGTAAAATGTCATTAGGGTTTTCATTTTCTGCACTCAACCTCTTTTTTTCCTCCTTTGTTTTGCTGCATGTGGAAGTCTTCCTTTCTATACATGCGCACACGCCCCTTTCTATTGGTCTTATTGTTCTGACAATGAGAGTCCTTGAAAAGACGATCTCGGATCTAGGTACATTATTCTAAGAGTCAAACAGGTTCCCATCTAAGCTTGTCCAGACACAAATAGTGTTATCACTCACTTCTCTAAATTGAAAGATTATGGATTTCTTCCCACCAGAGATGCAAGCTCATAACCTAGGTGGCTGCTGGAAAAGCGCTGCACCCTAAGTAACCTTTTTTTCATGGAGCATTAAAATGAAGGTTCATCTCTGCTGGTAGGTGGACTTGAAGTTTCACTGACATTATTCAAAGAGCAGAAGAATTTCCTTCTGTCCTAAGGATAGGAGAGATGTGGGATAATTGCCTCTTCTCTCCACCTCTTGACTGATTTTGAAATGTATTTTTGGGTACACCTTGAGGGCTGTGACTTTTTAAGAACTGACACAAAAGAGGCTTTCTTGTAAGTTTTTTTTTTAAAGAAAAATAAAGATAAATGTTTAATTTTCACGATACTCAATGTAATTGAAACAACACTTACTCCTTATCTACACAAGACACACAAACACCAGAAAAGATGATTTCTGAAGATGTGATGTGCACTTTTTTTAAAAAAGTTTAAAAGTCATTATTATTTTGACTGACTGTTCAAGATGGTAGTTGGAAATGTTATTGGCATCAGAATGTGCAAATTGTCATTCAGTGGAGAATGTTTGCCCATCAACATTCCAATCATTAATAGCCTCCTTTTAATGTTTTATTTGGATGCCCATCCTCAAGAAGTTGGCAAGCCATTGTTACTTTAAGTCTTCTTGATTTGAAATAGAGAATGGTGGTCATCGATATACGGGTTGCTAGTTTGCACTTTAACTGACTTCCCAGAGAGAGGCTAAGACATGTCTGTCCCTGTGCGCCCAGTAACTAGTCCCACAAATTACCTCCTATCTTTTTCTATTTCTTATTTCCATCTAAACTGATTCTACATCTTGCTTTTTTTTTGAGTTAAGTTCATCTCTCACCACTGTGCTAAAACAGAGCTATCCCATAACCTTTTCCTGGTTTCTTATCTTTTTGAATTGTCAAAACCTTCAATATTTAGGTTTCATCTTTAGCCAACCAGCAACCATTTCTTTGTGGTTATCTAGTCATAAATATTAATTTCTATTTGTGCTGATAATGCATCACTCTATTTTGAAAGTGTAGGCATTCAACTACAGAACCTTTTTTGCCGTTTTATCTTCCTTGTAACCCTACCTGTTGAAGCACTTTTAAGTTAATATGTTCCTTCCTGTTTTTTTACACCCTGCTGTATTTACTCATTGTTTTTCTTTGCTTTATCACATTTCACATCTGTCACGATCTATTGCCCCCACTTGTGAGTTTTAAGCCCTCCCTACAGCACTAATTATATCAATGACCAGAACACTGCCCCTACCCCGGTTCAGGTGGTGATGATTCCATTGTTATGGCTCCCACTTGATCCTGCATTTTTACACAAGTATATTTACACCATATATATTCTGAATCTAGTACTGTGTTGCATCAGCATTCTTTAGTCAGAACGCTAGGTTTAGGAGAAAATATTCTGTCCGGCTTCTCTATTCAGCTGCTGTAACTTGAGCAGAAACCCTGGGGAAAATGGCATAAATAAGAAATGTCTGCCATGTTTGAGCTGACGAACTTGGGAAAATACAAGAATTTGTTGATGGAAAAGCGTAACTCCTTGCAACAAGTGCTAAACGTGTATTTCAAATACTGCTTTTGAGCAGAATTTTACATTTTTTGCAGTTGAATTGAAGTTTTAGACTCATTTAGATTGATCATGTAATGACTTCAATTGAATAATGAACATCTTTTGAATAAATATTGAACACTTATTGTAATCCGTTTAACAAATTTTAAGTGTTCTGTCAAAGCTGCGAGGGGGTGAACTGCACAGCAATGAGGATTGGACCATTCAGGGAAAAATGGGCCCTACAGTGTTCCTTTTTAAGATGCAGGTGGTCCCATGTAACAATCTTAAAAGATTGGTGTAATATGCAGGTGATAGATAGGTGGAACAAGGCAATGAGAAGGACCATTGCTTCTAATGTAAAATATTTGGTCAAGCAGTTGAAGGTGCACTTTCTAATGATCAGGAAGTAATTATTAGTTCCAAGAATGTTGTACCAAAACTCCAAATATTCTTAAGTCCAGGTAGTTCATTAAATTGCTCTCAGTCTTGATGGTAAAAATGTTCCAATATTATGCATTGAGAAATTTCACTTAATAATAGCACTTCCTGCATGGTGGAGCTGTTGCCATGTTAAATGCTTGATGGTATTATTATTTACCAGGTTTAGATTTAGGTTTTTGCTGTCAGGTGATTTAATTAGAATCAAATTTTGTGTAATTTGATTTCAATCAATCCTAGTTTAATAGTAATAAAGTAGCTTTCGTTTACATTACCAATTTCAGAAATTATGTAACCATATAACCAATTTTCTTTCATTTCAGCTGGTTTAGGACGAACAGGTACGTTAATAGCCTGTTACATAATGAAACACTACAGGTTCACTGCAGCAGAAGCCATAGGATGGATTAGGATATGTCGACCAGGATCTATAATAGGCCCACAGCAGCACTTCTTGGAGGAGTAAGTGACTAGTTTATCTTATAATTAAAAACATTTTAGAGTCGTAGAATCCTAAATATATACAGCACAGAAACAGACCCTTCTCCAACTCGTCCATGCCGACCAGTTATCTTACAGAAATCTCGTCCCATCTGCCAGCATTTGGCCCATATCCCTCTAAACCTTTCCTATTCTTCTGCACATCCAGATGCCTTTTAAATGTTTTCATTGTACCAGCCTCCTCCACATCCTCTGGCAGCTCATTCCATACACTCACCACCCTCTGCGTGAAAAAGTTGCCCCTTAGGTCTCTTTTATATCTTTCCCCTGTCACCTTAAACCTATGGCCTCTAGTTTTGGACTCCCCCACACCGGGGTGAAGACCTTGTCTACTTACCTTGTCCATGCCCCTTATGATTTTATAAACCTCTATAACGTCACTCCTCAACTTCCGATGCTCCAGGGAAAATAGTCCCAGCCTATTCAGCCTCTCCCTATAACTCAAACCCTCCAATTCTGGCAACATCCTTTATAAATCTTCTGAACCCTTTCAAGTTTTACAACATCCTTCCTGTAGCAGGGAGACCAGAATTGAACACGGTATTCCAAAAGTGGTCGAACCAATATCTTGTACAGCCACAACATGACTTCCTAACTCCTGTACTTAGTGCATTGATCAATAAAGGTAAGCATATCAAACGCCTTGTTCACTATCTTATGTACCTGTGACTCCACTTTCAAGGAACTATGAACCTGCACTCTTTGACAAAGAAGGTCTCTTTGTTCAGCAACACTCCCCAGGATCTTACCATTAAGCGTATAAGTCCTGCCCTGATTTGTCTTTCCAAAATGCAGTACCTCACATTTAACTAAATTAAACTCCATCTGTCACTGCTCAGCTCATTGACCCATCTGATCAAGATCCCATTGTACTCTGAGGTAACCTTCTTTGCTGCCCAGTACACCTCCAATTTAAATTAGTGATTCAGAAAGAATTTTCATATAGGCCGAGAGCACTTTTTCTAACTGCTGTAAACAGGCAGTCAGGCCAGAAATGTTAACTAATTTTTTTGATTTTGTTTTAAACTGTGTGTTACAACTTTAAGAATGTAAATGTAATTTCTGTTGGTGCTGAAATGAAATTTTATATTGAACAGTTTTATTCTCTCTCTATTGGAAATGCATGATTTGGATTATTGTTGAGAGTTTTGTATTTCAGGCCACCATTATATAGATTTGTTCCAACTCCATAGTAAACAGTGTGTAGGGTATTGAAATGCCTGCTTTGTATTTTGCTTGTTGCAAAACAGGAACTTGTCATGTGTGATTGCTATTCAGCTTCCTGAAACTTCAAGTGTGCTTGGCCACACCAAACTTAAAGTGCCCATGGAGCCTAATCTTTTTACAAAGGTTGAAGTTGAAGCTTGGCTGCAACTGAGGGTTTTTCACAGAGCAATCTGGTGAGGTAGATGACAGTCCATATTGCTTTTGAATAAGGAAAGTAAATCTTAGTTCTCCTGAATGCTGAAATGATCATCTTTATAAAAAAAATTAATCTTGTCACCTTTTATATATTTGCTCTTTTAAAGGCATCCTAAACTGCTTAAAATCAATGGCATTAATGTTTATTTAAATGTCCCGATTTTGGCTCAACTTTTATACTGATTTGACTGACCAGCAAGTTGATGACCAACTGTCTGACACCACAGTCTAAGCGTTAGAAAGAATATATTCCAAGGAATGGTAATCACAGTCGGATTGCCACTTTTGCTTTTCTTTATTTTTTTTTTCAGTGAATTTGTTTTTTTAATTCGCCACATTTCTAGTAGTTAATTCCAATGTAGTATCCTACAGAAATGCTGAGCAGCTGAAGTCAACATGGTTCCCCTGGACAGCAGGACAATTGGGAAAGTCAAACCATGCCCCTTTTACAGCAATCCATATGTTATGTTCTGGAATTTAAATGTCAAGAAGCACAGCTGGACACTTTGACTGCTGTTGTGAAATGGTAAGTGTGAGGTTACGGTGGCAGTTGATTAAAGGGTTTGGGTGCCAGCTCGTGGGCATAAGTCTGTCTTGTGGTGGAGTTCAGGCTGGTGACAGGGTCAGAAATTGTGTTGGTTGGTAGGGTCCGGTGGTGAGTGTGGTTGCAAGGGCTCTCAAAGATGTACAGCTAAGTTGGGAGTTCAAGCTTAATTACCCAAGAATTGGACTAGGGTTTTAAATTGCTGACTTTTTTCCTGGGTAGCTCTTTAATTGTAGTGAAACCCTCTGAATTGTTTGTTTTGAGTTTCTTTTTCAGAGGGTTCCGAGGGAATTGCCATTGAAATCTTCAGTTTTCCAGGCCATTCCCTTGGAGTCTGCATCTGGGATTCCACTAGATTTGCAACTCCTCCAGTCGGTGATACAAAAAGGACTGTTTAGATATTCCAATGGCAAACGTCTTGATGTCAGTAGAGAAAAAATACTAATTACGGGTTTATGTAAATTGCGCTGTTTGTATTTGTGAAGGACAAAGCTCCTTTCATTTGCCAAGGAATCAAGAGAGCCTGTAGTATTTAAGGTATTAAAAAGGTAATTTTTTTTTTTAAAAATTGCTAATCTTTCCTCTGTGTTCTATTCTCTTAACATGACTCGATTATTCACAAGTGCAACAAGGATGAACATGAAAACGGTCAGAAGCATTTTATGGCTGATCTTTACTCTTTCTTGGACTTTGTATGGCTTCCTAACACATTTTGGAGGGAAACTGAAAAATTGGAGAATTAGCCTTGACAGGGAAATGTTTGTTTCTAGTAAAGGTTCCGCATGGTAGACCAATTAGTAAAGTTAGGTCACATGGGATTTAGGGTGAGCTTGCCAATTGGATACATAATTGGCTTAATGGCAGGAGACCGAGAGTAATGGTGTAGGATTGCTTTTTGGACTGGAGGCCTGTGACAAGTGGTGTTCCACACGGATCAGTTCTGGGTCCTTTTTTGTTTGTCATTTACATTAAGGATTTGGTTGAGAATATAAAAGGCATGGTTAGTAGGTTTGCAGATGACACCAAAATTGGTGGCACTGTAGACAGTAAAGAAGATTTTCTAAGATTACAAAAGGATCTTGATCAAATGGGTCAATGGGCTGAAAATGGCAGATGGAGTTCAATCTGGATAAATGAGAGATTGCATTTTGGTACAACAAACAAGGGTAGGGGTTATACAATTAATGGTAGGGCCTTGGGTTATGTTGTAGAACAGAGGGACTTGGGGGTGCAAGTAAATAATTGTTTAAAGTTTGGGTAAAATATAGACCTTTGAGTATAGAGGTTGGGACATTATGTTGAGGTTGTACTGGTATTGGTGAGGCCTGTTCTGGAATACTGTGTCATGCCAAATTCACTAAGGCAATCTGAGTTGCTGTAAGGTTTATTAGTGTGGAGGTGGAATTTTTTGTAAAATTGTATTTGGTGTGATTCTTTGCAACAGAAGTTACAGCCTAAAATCATTTCGTGTGAACCCATGCATTTAATTATTGTGGTTGGACTGTGCATGTAACCATTTATAACCAGAAACCTAAGCTATGCAGATCAGTTAATGACTTATACTTTCCTGTGTTGGTTCAGCATTCTAATTCCTTTTTTAAACTCAACAGCAGGTGAATGTCTTAAGTGCCAAGTATATTCATGCTGCTAAATCTTTTTCGACTCGATCCCTATTTTAACAGCATTTTTTTTTTTGAACAAATATTACTTTATTGTCATACTAAATTACACTGCCCACTGTTCTGCACACTAGGTATTTTGTTTAACTAATTACATCATGGACAATTGACACTGATTCAATAACTCTTAAGTTTTTGGTTTCATTGAATTATGTCAACTGGCATTGTTTATGAATGCACGTTGTAAATATAAGGTAGAAATATTTGAAAGTCCAAAACCAATCTTGTGAAGAGTTTGCCTTAATTTCCAAATAAACGCACTCCATCTCTGGCACTAATCATCTTAATGTAGCTGTTATTTCTTTCCAAGCACACTCCAATTTTTTTAGAGCTGAATTCAGGCTTTTGTATCACAACATCAATATTGCATGATGTTTCCAAGACTGCCTGTAGGAAGGCCAGATCATGATGCAGCAAAACTATATAGGTAAGCATGCTGCTTAGGTTTTTCTGATATGTCATTTATATTGAATTTTAATCATGCATCTCAAGTTCAAGAGAACTATAGTGGATTTGAATGTGCAGGTTCCATATAAAATGACTGCAACACTTTATTTGGAAACATACATTTTATCAAAGTTATTTTAAAGGTTTTTTTTTTCTTTGAAATAAATTGTATTTTTTTACATTAGTGTAATGATGTTATCTTGACTGGCATCTCCTGTATTTTAGTTTTGAATATTGGTTATGTTAATAGATCTGCACATATGCCTGTATCACGTGAAATATAAAAGCGTCAGTCAAGTATGATTTCATACTGGTTATGAAAAATTGTTGTAAAGATTTGCCCAATGTTTTTACATCCTAGGTTATTGTGAATCATGTTGTCTAGGGATGTTCTGTGAAAATGTTTATTGATATTTGCAACAAATTAGGATGGAATGGAAGTAAAAGTGATATCTGGATTGGCTTAAAGGTCTTTTCAGGTTAATTTTCCACCTGAATGTTTAATGAAATCATGTGGCCTTATACTGACAAAGAAACAATACATCTCTTTTTGAACTGTGTAACTATATTAAAACAGGGAAGCTCGTCAAAAGACTTGTCAAATTCCAAAACACACAGACTCTACGACTTTTTCAAAGTAAGTGATTCAAAGTAACTTGCACATCATGCTTTCTGTCTGTTTTAATGAGACAGGAGCATTGGTGCACATACGTTTATTTTGGTTCAACATTCCCTTGTGTTAACTTAATCGATTTCTAAACTCTCTTTATTTTTAATCATTACATTGAAATATTGAGCAATTTTGCATTTTAGTACATTACACCAAGTATTTAAACTTATGATAATTTGTACATTCTTCGTTTGCTATTAATTTCCTGAATAGCTGTGCCCTTGGTGATTGTCCATAATACCAGAATTGAGGTTTTAAATATTTGAGTGCTAGTACCTAACCTTCTTTGTTTTCAGGTATAGTTGGGTAGGTTTCTTAGAAAATTGCAGTCAGCAATCTGCATTTCTTTGCTGTGTATGTCATGTCTGGATATGACATCTTGCAAGATTGGAAACCTGGTGGTTAGCCACTGTTTTGTGGTGCCATATTCTTGATTTTTTTTTCCAGTTGTTTTTCAGATCTTGTCCTGACCGTAACCATTATATTAGTAGTAAATTGGTTGGAAAGAACTTGGAAATATTCTGAAGAAGGGTCACTGGACTCAAAACATTAACTCTGCTTTTTTTTCCCACAGATGCTGCCAGACCTGCTGAGTTTCTCCAATAATTTCTGTTTTTGTTTCAGATCCTCAGCATCCACACTTCTTTGTTCTATTTTGGAAATGTTCATGTTTGACTTGATTTTATTTAGCACGTTGTTTATTTGAGCTGTGTGGAAAATTTGAATTTTACAATTCTACTTTAACAAATTCATGTTTTCTTTCTTTATTGTCAACTCTATCTTCATCCTGCTTTCTTGGATTTTAGAAGATAAACACAACTTCTACTTAGTCCAAGTACTTTGTACAAGTAGATTGGATCCATTGTTTTAGCACTTTAAAGAAAAGATATTGAGTTGTTTATTTGACATGAACTATATTTTGTAGTTGGGAGACCATTTTGCTTAGCATTACTTAGAGTGCAGACTTATTCAACACTATGGCATGTTGAATAAAAAAAGTATATTTGATTAATTTCTACTACAAGTTATGCAGAAGGGATGCTGGTGTGGTGGTAATATCATTGAACGAATAAACCAATAAATGTTAGGGACATTTGATTCAAATCCCACCATTACAGCTGCTAGATTTTAAATTCCATTAATAATCTAGAATTTAAACTATCACCAATGGTTGCAAAACCCATCTGGATCACTAATATCCTGTAGGAAAGGAAATCTTCCATTCTTTGCTGGTCTGGCCTATGTGTGACTCCATACCCAGAACAATATGGTTGACTTTTAACTGCCCTCTGAAATGGCTTAACAAGCCACTCGGTTCAAGGGCAAGAATGGATGGGCAGCAAATGCTGGCCTTGCCGATGGTGCCTGCATCCTATGTAAGAATAAAGAAAATAATTTTGTCAAGAGGAAATGAATTGCCACATTTCTTTTTGTTTATTTAACCTATTTTTCTAATCAACCTGTTCAGAGGTGTATCCGCAACCTCTGGAGCAGGTGGGACTTGATCCTGGGCCTCCTGATTCAGGGGTAGGGACTCTACCACTGTGCCACAAGCGGGCCCCAAAACATGGTTAAATGCTACTAAGTAAATGGCAATGCCTTAACCATTGCGTGTCATAAGGCCACTAGGACCCCTTCCATCCTTATCAAGGGGAATGCTAACATTTTCTCCTTTCATACTTGTTTCCAAATATACACTGATGCATTTCCTATTTCAACATTTACATAGTTTGAACAATATAAGTGACGCTCGTGTGCATTACTTTTCCCTTTTAAATCAAAGCTATCAACTCAAACAACCCATAGCTGGCATGGTAAGCAGGAGCATTTTAAGAGATTTTAATTCATCTTTTGATTTCATATTCAAGATTTGTTTGTTCCATTGTTTTGTGGTTTTACTCATTTGCTTCAGACTCTTTCCATCTGCACTGTTTGCAGTCAAGGCCCCTGCCAAGGCTTGCTTCTCATGATGATTTGCAGTTAGCTTGATGATATATGCTCTGTTGCCCTGGTACTAAGGCATTGGGACATTGGGGTAACTCTTCCCCTAGGTTGTGAAACCAAATTAATAACTGTTAGTGCAACACTTACCTCCATGTTGAGGTCCATATGTACGTTGCTTATAATTTGGTTTAATGTAGCTCTAGAGCCAAATAAAACAGGTAGGTATTGTCCTGAGTTATTGGGGAGATGAGAGATGATAGCCTGCTGATTGAGAAATTGCCAAACCCGTCATTCGTTTATTTTGTGGAAACCAACTAATCCTGGCCTATATGTTTTAGATCTGGTGGAGTATCCGGACTGTCATCTTTCCCTGTAGCTTAAAAATAGACGGCTATTGAAATATCGTATCATGTTTTTGTGACTTCTTTATCCTTTTTACTTTATCCTTTCTCCTGCTTTCTTTTTATAGGTGTGAATATTTCACCCCATCTAAGGGATGGTTGTTCCCTTTTAGCATTATTTGCATTCCTTTATGTGGTTAGAAATCTTTTTTTTTCCCCCATTCTCAATGGTGGCCACACCTCATCTCACATACGTCCCATCTCGGTGTTCATTTACCTAAAGAGTAAAGAATGGATGAACACGCAACAGGAAAAGGCTGCAGAAAGTAAGGAGAATTAGGAATCAGAGAAATTATTTCCTGATAGCTGAGTATAGAGAGGGAGAGATGTAGCTGGTAAACCAAAGATTCAAATAATGGCTTGATTTTATCATCCCATATGATTTGTTTATGCTGAACTTCTCAACTTGGCTGGAATGTGCATATGCAATGTTGGGGGGGGGGGGGGGGGGGGGCATAATTTGAATCAAAAAAAGACGAAGCGGATTTGTAAAAGAATAAACACAGTTATCAAGAATAGGTGTCACAAACGGGGGCGAGACAAGGAGGAACAA